ATCCCCCTACACACACACACACACACACACACACACACACACACACACACACACACAACAGAAACAGAAATCACACGAAAGACGACTGGAATCAAGGCAGGTTCTCGTGTTGCTCCGCGAAGGTTTGCCGTGACTCGGCGAAGCAGGCTGTGGTGACGTCAGCACCGGTAGAGTCATGCCAGCTCCGGGTGGTCCCTGTGACGGACAGACGCAGGTGACAGGGGAACTCACCCTCTCCACCCCACGGCGAGTCTGGCACGGCTAGACAACCCTGGTGGCACACTTGATAGCTACGGAAGCTTTTAACGTTTTGCACGATGTAACAGATCCGTAGAGAAGTCTGAGAAGTGCGTGTGTGGTTGGCGGGTGCTCTGGTGTGGTTTACGCCTTCTTCCCTATCAAACATCTACAGTCCTCATGTCTCCTCCTTCTTTTTTGTGTTTATTACTGTTATTCTCTTGTAACAGTTCTAATCTTCGGCACTTATGTGACTTAATTGAGTTGCACGTGCTGTAACACTTTTACTAAAACTAAGGAAAGAAACACAAGAAAGTTAGTGAGGGAAGAAAAAAGAAATCAGCTGAAGTCGACAATAGTAAATGTTTCGATACAGTTCAGAAAAGTCAGAATAAATCAATTTAAGCACATTTTGGCACAGTTTAGAACTGAGCAGAAGCCTACACCAGACCTACGAGACATATTGGTACACTTTAGAACGCTAAGTAGTAGGACTACAAGACATTTCGATATAGTTAAGAACGGTCTGTTGTAAAAGTCGACACAGGAAGCAGAAGGCATTGCTGTCAACATTCCGGTAGAGTCTCTCGACTCACCACCAGGACACAGTCCTCGCTCCGTGGAATGTCCCGGGCAGACCCCCGTTGTCTTCGGCGAGAACAGCGAAAGGAGCCAAACCCACAGACCAGGCAACACAAACAAGCCAGTCAAACAGATAGACACACTCATAGCGCTGCTGAGACGGCCGGCTCCGCGTAACACACAGCCTGACCTCTGACCCCCTACGTCGTCTACCCTTTGACTTTTACACGCACAGTATGACGTCACAACGACTTCACAACTTTTGACAAAACACAGGTATGGGCATTGAGGGGGGAGGGAGAGTCAGAGAGATACTGATTGAAAATGTTTTACGCCTAGATCTACATCGACACAGTTTACATATTTTAGAGAAGAGGTGAACTGCTTCACCTCTGCCTGTCAGAGCCTTCCCGAGCTGTATGGAATACATTGTACATCTCTCCGAAAATACAGAGATTCAACTCCCCCCCCCCCC